AGCAGCGAGCAGGGGTGGGCCGGGGCGGGGACGCGTAGGGACCCCCCCGCCCCGGGCTCACGCCGCCCCGGCCCCGCAGATCACGGTGCACAAGCACGACCAGTGCGCCCTGCTCAGCAATGCCCAGCCCTACAAGTGGAAGGTGCTGAGTGCTGCCGGCAACGAGGCCATCGTTCCCTCCGTCTGCTTCCTCGTGCCACCCCCCAACAGGTCCCACCTGACGGTGAGTCCCTCCCTGGTGCCGGCACGGGGCAGCGCCCAGCCCGGTGGGGTCCCCGGGGGTCCCGCTCCGGCGGCGGGCGGCGCCGGCGCCCTTTGCTCCCCCCCCCCAGTTCCGCACAATGCAGGAGTGCCGGCAGGTCCTGCGCAGCCTGGAGACCCACTACCAGGAGTTCTTGCGGGACAGCCAGGACTGGGGCAGCGCCCAGCCCGGTGGGGTCCCCAGGGGTCCCGCTCCGGCGGCGGGGGCTGACGGCGCCCTTTGCTCCCCCCCCCCAGTTCCGCACAATGCAGGTGGAGGAGTGCCGGCAGGTCCTGCGCAGCCTGGAGACCCACTACCAGGAGTTCTTGCGGGACAGCCAGGACTCGCAGAGCTTCCAGCCTGACGACCGGCTGCACGTGGAGCGCGAGTACAACGCCTGCACCCAGAAGTATGAGCTGCTGCTGCGCAGCCAGGAGAAAGGTGAGCCCCCTCCTCCCCGTCACCCTGTGCTCCCTGGGGGTGTCTCCTCTGTCCCCGGGGACGCGGACGGGGCGAACGAGGCGGGAAGGCGCGAACCCGTCCCTGGTGTCCCGACAGGAGAGCAGGACGAGTCCCTGTGCAAGAACTACATCTCCCAGCTGAAGGACATCCGTCTGCAGCTGGAGGGCTGCGAGACCCGCACCATCCACAAGATCCGCCTGCCCCTCGACAAGGACCCGATCAAGGAGTGCGCCCAGCGCATCACCGAGCAGCAGGTATGCGTGCACAGGCGCATGTGCAGGTGTGCGACGCACGCGGATGGGGACCTCGGCACCCAGAATGGGGCTGGTGTCTGTCCACCCGCACTGGGGGGCTGCAGACCCCTTCCCCTTCTCTGCTCTGCTCCTCCTCCGGGGTCGGGGGTGGCCGGGGGCCCTGCAGGCCGGGTCCTGGCTGGCAGGACACGGCGTTTGGCACGGTGTTACGTGGGGGATCAGCCACGGGCAGGGCTCGGCCCCCAGCTGCAGCTGGCGGGCACCAGGCAGGGAGTGAGGGACCCTCCTCTCCCTGCAGCAAATCCACCTGGAGCTGGAGGGCATCAAGAAGAACCTGGACAAGGTCAGCGAGAAGACAGAGAAGGTTCTGGCCCAGCCAGAGCAGGCCAGCTCGGCCCCCGTCTTGCGCTCAGAGCTGGAGATCACCCTGCAGAAGATGGACCAGGTGTACAGCCTCTCCAGCATCTACCTGGAGAAGTGAGTGCCCAGCCCCTGCGCGGCTCATGACCCCCTGTGGTCATCCCAGGCTGGGGAAAACCGCTGCATCAGCTGGGATGAGCCTGCTCTGGCCAGGGGTGGGCTGATGAGGTCTGGAGGAAGCTGGCTGTGCCGGCATGTTCTTCCCTTCCCATCGGCTGTGTGCCGACTGACGCTGCTGCCCGCCTGGGCTCTGGCACCGGCTGAGCTCGTCTCCGTCTCCTCTCTCCGCAGGCTGAAGACCATCAACCTGGTGATCCGCAGCACTCAGGGGGCAGAGGAGCTGGTCAAGAAGTACGAGGACCAGCTGAAGGACGTGCAGACCGTGCCGGCTGACCTCAAGGAGCTGGAGGCCAGCAAGGCTGAGCTGAAGGTAACGGCTGGGGCAGCACCATGCCGGGGGGGGGGGGGGGCAGGGCCGGGGGCTGACCCCTTCTCTGTCTGGTGCAGCGGCTACGTGCGCAGGCGGAGGGGCACCAGCCCTTCTTCAGCACGCTGGAGACCGACCTGAGCAAGGCCAAGGACGTCAACGAGCGGATGGTCAGGGGCCACAGCGAGCGTGACGTGGACCTGGACCGCTACCGGGAGAGAGTCCAGCAGCTGCTGGAGCGCTGGCAGGCCCCTGACCCAGACAAGGATCTGC